GGACTCTTAATCTAGTGTTCTATATCACTAACCTTGGACTAAGAAAAACATAGAATAGGAGACCCAAAACACATTCTGGGGGTTGCAGATTAAGGACAGATTCTAGATATTCTTATTCCTACTGTTTGACAGTAAAAGTTGCTGCTGGATTCTGGAGCCTAGCAAAGTGCTTGTCATAGAGGAGGAGTCAAATTCTCAGAAAATAAATAAAGTTATGAGAGACAACATAATATGAAGAACTGTGGATTCAGAGGCAAGATACCCAGATTTTTGTCCTAGCTCTGTCATTTACTGACTATATCAACTATAAAAACCTATTAAATACCAAAAGATGGTATAAGGGATGAGTTAAATAAATTATAATACATACATATGTAGACTATGTTATCTATTACTTTCACAGCAAATTATCATAAAACTAAAGCATACAAATTTATTGTTTTACAGTTTAGATGGTGAAAAGTCTGATGTAGGTCTCACTGGGCTAAAATCAAGCCGGTAGCAGGACTACCTTCTCTTCTGGAGATTCTAGGGGCAAATTAACTTCCTTGCTTTCCCAGCTTCTAGAGGCTGCCAACATTCCTTACCTTGTCCGCTGCTGCCCGCCAACCTTTTTTTACTTTTAAAGCTAACAATGGCCAGTCAAGTTCTTCTTACATTGTATTACTCCAGTTACCTCTTCTATTTTCAAGTAGCCTTGTCATTACATTATCCAGGATGATTTTTTGTTGGTGGTGTTTTAGGGCCATCTTATTAGCACTCTTATTCCTCTTCACCAGGTATAGTAACATATTAGGTTTCGGGGTTTAAGACGTGGAAATCTTTGTCTACCACATTTGTGAAAGAAGAGAAAGGAAGCTCTCTACATTGTGAAAGGGAAAATTCTCCAAGGTATTATTATTATTATTATTATTTTTATTTTGTAAAAAAATACACAGCAAAGAAAAGCATAAATAAAATGATATGTAGAAAAGGAAGGAAATAAAAATATATGTTCACATTTAGTTGGTGTTACATAAGCAAACTCTGGAGAGATATGCAAAAATATTAAAGAGGTTATAAACTGGAAATGATGGCAAGGAGGGTAGGAAGATTGGGAATGGGACATAACAAGATTTTTCAAAGTATTTTTTAAAATCATTACACTTTTTGAACCATGAAAACATATTTCTTTAACTCGAATGATTCAAAATTGCCCCAAGATCCCATTATTGACTTGACTCTCAAAACCTTCTGTTTTGAAGAGCCTATCAACAGTTTTGTTATTTTTTCTTCTTTAAAACTCAAATTTTAACAGGCAAATCCTCATTTTTTTAGTGGCTTTATAACAAACAATTCTCTAACTTTATATTCCTGGGCTTCATGAAATTCTACATCTTTGCAACACTTTCAAAATTTTATTTTGAAATTCATTTGTATTGTACTGTGAGATCTTCTCAAAATCTAGCATTTCTGCAGTGAGAGGCTAGTGTTAGAGATGGAACATGTCTTTAGGTGGGTATTCATTTTCAAGAGGCCTATTAAGTATTGGGACATTTTAATTTTATATTCATACAGTTATAGAGGTGAGGCTTTAATTTTTCTATGTAACTATAGAAATTTGGACAATAAGTGTGAAAAACTGCTAAATATACTTGGATGTATTTCAGTATTTATTATTCTGGCTGTTCTTGGAAAAGTTCTTTATTATGCCTTAAATCTACTAGTAATAGCATGGTTTACTGCATTTAGTAGTTATATCCCCATCATAAATTAATCTTTTATTCATAAAATATTTTGTGGCACACATATCATTAATTATTCCTAGTCAGGTTTAATAAGGTGTGTGTGTGTGTGTGTGTGTGTGTGTATGTATGTATGTGTGTGTGTGTGTGTATGTGTGTGTATATATATATATATATATATATATATATATATTTTTTTTTTTTTTTTAAATTCCTTTAAAGATATTCAGTTGTACGGTTTTTAAAAAGCAAAGAAAGGGCTGGGGTTGTGGCTCAGTGGTAGAACGCTCGCCTAGCACGGGCAAGGCCTTGGGTGCGATCCTCAGCACCACATAAAAATAAATTAATTAATTAAAGATATTATGTCCAACTACAACTAAAAAATAAATATTAAAAAAAATAAAAATAAAAAACAAAGACAGTCATGTAACCACTATAGCACTGAAAGTATAAGATATACTCATCACTCAAGAGTTCTCTCATGCCCTTTTGTGCACAATTGCCTAATCTTACCCTCAGCCTCAGTGAAACGCTGATCTGACTATTCCCATAGTTTTGTCTTTTGAGAAAGTAAAGCAAGTGCAGCTGTACTGTGTGTAGTCTTTGTGTTCAACTTCTTTCATTTTGCATGTTGCCTTGGTTTCGTCCATGTTGTAGCATGCATGAGTACTTTATTTTTATTTCTGAGTGGTATTCCATTGTATGGCTACACTGTTTGTTTCTCCATCAGCTGATGGATAGTTGGGTTGATTTCAGTTTTGGATGGTCATGAATAAAGTTACTTTAAACATCACATATATAGGAATATTTGTTTTTATTTATTTTGGATAAATACCTAAATGCAGGATTGCTGGGTCACATGGGGAACACATGCATAATTTCATAAAATTTCTTATAAATAATTGCCAAATTGTTTTACAAAGTGGCCACACCATTTTGTATTCTCATTATGTATGAGAGTTCTAGTTGCTCCTCATCCTAGCCACTTGGTACCTTCAATTTATTTAATTTCCCGCTTCTTTGTTTGTTTGTTAGTTTGTTTTAGGACCAAGAATTGAATCCAGAGGCTCTTAAACACTGAGTCACATCCCCAGCCCCTTTTTATTTTGAGGCAGGGTCTCACTAAGTTGCTGAGGCTGCCTTTGAACATGTGATACTCCTGCCTTAGCCTCTTGTGTCACCGGGATTATAATTTTAATTCTTCTAATAATAGGTAAAATGATATTTGATTGTGGTTTTAATCTGCATTTCTGTAATAAATATAATATATGGTTGATCATGTTGAGAATTTTTATGTGCTTTTCTTTCATATTTCTTCTTTGTTAAATGATGGTTCAAATAATTTATTACTGAATTTATGTTACTTACGTGTTTCATATATAAGTCCTTAGTAGTATCATATACAAGTCCTTTTCTTATAGTCTATACTTGTTTTTTTTCATTTTCTTAAGAGTCTAATAATGTCATCCGAAGAACAGAATTTTAAAATTTTGATGAAACCCAATATGTCAATATTTTTATAGTTTATATTTTTTGTTTCCCATCTAAGAAATTTTTGTCTAACAAAAGGTCAAATAGATGTTCTATAATTTCTTCTAGACATTCTAGTTTTAAATTTATATGATCCATTTGAATTAATTCTTATGTTTCATATGAGGTAGCAGTCAAGGTTCTTTTTTAAAAATTTGCATGTGCATATCTAATTGTTCTAGCATTATTTCTGAAGTACTTATGCAAGGTTATTGACAAGTGACCACATATGCACATAAAGGTTTTCTAGACTCTGTCCTCCTCCATTGCTCAATGTGTCTAGTATTCTTTCTCCAATTTTATAGTCTCAATGACTATAGATTTTATAGTAAGTACTGAAATAAGGAAACGAAAGTTTTAAAAATTTGTACTTAAAAATGCTTGTGTTGTCCAGTGATTTTCTTTTCTGTGTACATTTAAAAAATTGTGTAATTTTCTACCAAAAAAAAGTCTTTGGTGATTTGATCAGGATACTGATGGGTTTATAGTTTGGGGAGAACCGACATCATCAGTATTGCGCCTTTGAATGAATTAAAACCATATTTTTCTCAGTTTATTTAGGTATATTATTATTATTATTATTATTATTATTATTATTATTATTATTTTGGTACCTGGGATTGAACTCTGAGGCACTTTGCCACTGAGCCACATCCCCAGCCTTTTTTTGTATTTTGTTTACAGACAGGGTCTTACTGAGTTGCTCATGGTCTAAGTTGCTGAGGCTGGCTTTGAACTTGTGATCCTCCTGCCTCAGCCTCCTAAGTCACTGGGATTATAGGCATGTGCCACCACACCCAACCCTATATTAAATTCTTGAAGATAAAATTTTATCAGGTACCAAAAAATTTCATGGAATTTTTGATTGTATTACATATAATTTTTAAATCATGACAAACAACTCCTTTTTCCTAAGGACAATCATTTTATTATGTTTATTATATAAAATTATAAAAATATTATTTAATAGTATATGTGAAAAAAGATATTTATAATTTTAGTATTTCTGAAAAACATTAATCCTGTAGCATGCTCTTTGTAAAATGGCTTCTGGGGTTGAGTAACCCAGGAATTACCAGAAATGATATGCAGCCTTCAGATTCTGATTTATATTGGTAATTGGCTTTACCTAATAATTTGATATTAAAAATATTTTACTATTATTTGTTTTGCTTTCCTATTACTTTATTTACACATTTTAAAAATCTACTTTTATTAAAAAGATTGATTTTTGTCACTCCTTCTCTTTTAGCAGGAAGATTATGCTGGCCAGATGAGACAAATTATGAAGCTTTTCCTGTATTTCCATGTTCTAGAAAAATCTGAATTGCATAGTAAATTATTCTCTGAGGTATTTAACAAGATTTTGCACACACATGAAATGTGACACTTCAGATTGAAAGTAATAACAATGGTTTTCTTCAGCATTCATTTCTTTTTAATTTTTTTCTATTTTTTGCTATTTGACTATTTTTGACAATATGATTGGTGAGATTAAATGTAAAAGGTATAAGTGAGACTGATTACATAGAGAAATTCTTAATTTCTGATATCAATCATTTCTTCTATTGTCAAGTTTAAAACATTGAACCCAAATCCCTTAGAAATCTGGCACACGAAAATGAGTAGGCTAGCAATAGGAAGGGCTACTAGAGAGTGTGCAAATATGAAGAAATGTACAAGATTAAGACCGATTAGACTTTCAGCTTGACAAAACACAGGGGACAATGAAAAGATGATACTCACATCTGAGTTAAAGCGAAGCTGACAGACATTACAAGAAATAACTTGTTTCTTCTTTGGGGGAATGGATACTCCAAATGTGTGGTTAATGACTGCTTTTTGCACAGGATCCATCTGAAAAGCAAATGATAAAAATTAGTCAAATTTTATCTTCGAAGGATAGACAACAGTGTGCAAATAAAAGTATCTTTAGTATTCCTAAAGATTTTAATTCCCAGACAGAGATAATAAAGATTCTTACTAAATAGTAATGTTCTTAACTCCAAGAATTAAGAACAAAAACAAATGACAAAAAACCCACCTTTTTTGAAACTGCAACACAAGAAGAGACCACAAGAGAATCACCACATTCCAAGAAATCTAATACCTACAAAAGAACCTTGTACATCCTTAAAAGAATCGTAAAACAGAAACTTAAGATCCAAAAGTCAGAGTTAAAATTAAGTTGTTAATGTTTTCCCTGTAGAACTGGTAATACTTACAATGGTTTCAAGTGACCTCAGTAATGATTATTACGGACACATTCAAGTTCTTATTTTTAATTTATGATAAAATCATAAATAGCAGGCTCTTATTACAGCACAGAAAATGTTAATCTTTATCTTAAAATAATGTATTAACTTACGTATCCTATAGATTGAAATTCATTCTACTGGAAATGCATGTCACAATTGTACACTCAAATGTACTATAACACTGGTTAATATGCAACCCTGTTTAAATATTGGTCAAGTAAAGTTTTGATTTAACGCCTGTGATTTTCCCCCTTTTGGCTTGCATGTATCATACATATTCAGAGAAATATACAATGATGAAAGTACTTGGTCACAGCAAAAGAGTGGCACACAGCCATCACAACACTCAGAAGAAGAAACACCTCTATCTGCAGAATTTATAAAAAGAGACCTAACAGTGATTCTCTTGGGTATTCCAGATAATAATCTCCAGCATTAACATCAGACAACTGGCAGTTCAAAAAACAATGTGCCGGATGAACAAAGCATTACTCATAAACAGATGTAACATGAACACGGAAGGATCAACTGACGCCATCATCTAGGAAATCTCCTGAGGTTAGAGTTTAGAATTGGATTAGCTGATGATATTTGATAAGAAAGGAGAAATGAATACTATCCCTGATCATGATTATAAATGATCAAAGTATAAAATTAGCATCTAGAAAAATTTAAATCCAGTGGAAAAGAGGGTGAATTGAGGGGTTACTGAAGAGTATATTACCCTATCTTTGGCTACAAGCTTAAGAAAAATGACAAGATAATATATTCTCATTATAGAGAACAGATATAGTGGTAGTTTTCTCAAGTTGTAGAATTGTTTTAATATCCTAACTGTAGTTATGGTTACACAATCTAAACATATCAAAGTTCATAAAACTATTCACATACCCTCCCCGCCAAATCAATATGTATGATAACTTAGAAAGTTAAAAAAAAATGTGAAGAGTATTATGTTTAACTACCCAATACAAAATATATCCAGAAAAATCCAGGGATTTACTTTGTTCAAGGTTATAACTGATTAATTTTTTATTTATGCTGGGGATCAAACCAAGACCACACATGCTAAGCAAGCACTCTACCACTGAGCTACAGCCCCAGTCTTTACATTTTATTTAATGAGAATAATAATAATAAAACTCTATGGGGTAAAGAAAATCTCAAAAAGTCAGAAATAAAACCTTAGTTTACTTTCTTACTTTATTCACTAGTTCATACATTCAAGACCATTCCATTCCCAAAACATAAAACTGTATTTTCTGAGCACAATTAATTAGTAGAGATGGCAAATCAGTTTGAAGAAGGTTAAAAATAAAATAGGCTAAACTTGACAGAATTTTAAAAAAATCCCAAAGTTTGGCAGTTAAAAGACAAAATATTTTATTAAGATATTTTCTGTTCCTAGGTTCTAAAAAATACTTCCCATCTGGTGATTTGTGAAATATATGGGAAAAAAGCATATGAGTATTTCCCAAATACCAATTTTCTCCATACTGCTTTCATTATTTCTGTCACATTCAATACTAATATTTTATTTAAAACTCAAATTAAAATATATTTTAAAAAATATAAACAAGAATATTCATAAAATCATAGTTTTAATTATTTCCTACTACTCATTTCAAAAATATATTGAAAATTAACATTTACAATCAAAACTTTCACTACTTAAAATAAATACACATATGCTAGTTGTTTTCATTAACACAATATAGAAAAAGAGATAAAAGACAAATCTAGAAAAATCTAGCTTTAATCTTTTAGTAAAGTAAGATAACTATTGAGGGCTTCAATCCTTGAATATACATTTTCCTTTACATTTTTTCAGATTTTTAGCTTCCTACATATATTTTTAAGTAACTTCTGACAAAACTTTATTCTGCCCAAATCCCATATTGGCACCACGGGAATCTGAAAATACCCCTTCCTGTTCCCAAGGTTGAGTGTTCTGGGTCCTGAAAGATGAGCTGAGGCTGAGCACTGCACATACAAGAGCAAGCAAGTTCCCAGCCATCTGTTTCCTGCAAAGCAAACTAAGGGCGTTCTTTCAAGATACTAGCCAGAATTGATTGGCTTTACTTATGTATATATACATAATCCTAATTTTTTTTCACAAAATCAACTAAACACAGCCCTTTTATCCCTTCCTACTTACCTGTCAATAACTTGCTGTCTTCCCATCTTTCGAATAACTTGTCACTAATCATATCAAAAGATTATCCCCTTAAATAATATTCACTATTTCCCACTTGATTCTCTATTTCCTTATAGGAATTTTGGGAAAAGACCCACTTTCCCCTCATCTAAATCTCTTTTATAATTCTCATAGAATTCTGTAATTATAATTTTTGTTGAAATATTTTTGGGGACATGATTAAATTAAGAGATGTTAAATGTTACAAAAAAGAAGGTTCCACTTTGCAATTTGAAACATTAACAGACCCTGTCAAGTTGATGTTTTGAATATTGGTCATCTGATGCAATAACAACAAATATCTGGGGCATTTCAGTAGGATCTATAAAAGGTTTTCAAATTCTTTAAAAAGAAAGTTGTAAAATTCCAAATATTTGTTTTCAGTGTTTCCACAATGTAGTAAAAGTTAAATGAAAATAACAACTATGGTATTCACTTATATTTAATTTTTTCCGTTAGTGTGATTGATGTTAGTTCTTTGTAAACATAATTATATATAAATAAAAAATATATTTTATATCTACATATACATATGTAGATATAAATATATAAATCAATGGTAATTGTTTTATTCAAGTACCAAATTTCAGAATGAATAAAGCATTCAGGATGAATAAAAAGTATTCTCATAATTCTTAAAATGTTGTAAATTCAAATTAGCCAATTTAACAGAGCCAAACTATGTGTCCAAAACATGATGATTTCATATGTATTCAGGTAAATCACTGGAGGAATTGCAATTACCTGACAAACTCGTATTTTATAGATTCAACTGGCATTTCATAGACTTTTTAAATTTATTTTTTATATTTTTAATTTTTTTGTAGTTATGTATGGACAGAATGCTTTTATTTGTTTATTGTTATGTGGTGCTAAGGATCAAACCCAATGCCTCACACATGCTAGACAAGTGCTCTGCTACTGAGCTCCAGCTCCAGCCCTTCACAGACATTTAATTGTGAAAAATGACTGCTTTCAACACTCTTCATTAAAATATTTAAAATATATGTTTTAAATGAACAAATGCTTGTTAAATAGTCACATTAAATTAGCTTGTTAGTTCACACTGCACAAAAAACTTGTCTACAGATTGAGAGAATTATGATTTATTAGGAAATAACACTAAAGCTTTTCAAAGGAAAAACAAAAACAAAGACCTATCACAAAGTTCTAGCTACCAAAAATCCTTACCTGGCAGAATTTATTGGTCCCAAATAAGCCTCTTCTTTTCTAAAAAAGTAAAAGTTAGAAGTAATCAACTAAAATTTTGAGGCCAGGAAGCACATTTACATGTTTTAAAGTTTAAAAATCTTACTTTTCTTGCTCACCCCTGACTAAAACTCTTGCAGTGCTTACTAACTAAAAAGTAGCAAGAGTTAACACTTGTCAGTTTTTCTAATGAAAATAATGCAGAAAAGAAAAGTAAAACCTATTAGTGCAATTAACTGGTAGGTAATAAAAATGAAAGATGGGGTTGTGGCTGTTACTAGGAATCGAGGAGGTAATTGGAGACTACATATGGGTGAAATAACTATTATATCATAGTGCATACAAAATGAATTAATCAAGCTGGCCGTATCACACCATCTATTATATTTTCAACATCAAAATAAGAATAAACATCTCTAGTACATTTACCAAGATTAGGGGGGCTACAATTCTGCATGAATTTTTTAAAAGATCATTACTTTCTATGAGTGTAATGAAAAGTAATTTACATTTGCACAGTGTAAGCAATCACATAAAAATATGCAGCTGCAAATAAGCTGTAGACACAGGAAAAAGAAACACTGCAGCACTTCACTAAAGGTAGGATGTATATAAGAAAGAGACTCTGTGATCAAATGACTGGACAAACAGATTATATTTTAGGCTCTCAATGATTTTTCTCCATGGAACTTTAGTAGAATTATAAACTTGTTCAACCATTCTAATGCTTTTCAAGAGGCTAGAAACTTGAGTTGTTTTTCTGAAAGAATCTTTAAACGATCTAACTAGCTAACAAGTAAGGCTGGAATGGAAATAAACTGGGCACCACACCACCTAAAAAGCAAGAACATTCAAGAATTGTGTAGAACTTTCTTTTATCCATACAGTTCCTTAAACATGGGGAAATCTCACCTTAAACTTAACCATCTGCTTTAACCAATGCTTTAAAAATCATTTGGGTAAGCACCTAATGGGGTCCATTAGCTTTTCTACTAAACAGAAGTAGAAACTGGGTTTTTTATTTCTGAAAGTTAAAATCAGTCATTCAACAAATATTTCTGGAGGCCTATTGTATCACAGACATTGCCCTAGACTAATGGGGAAATGAGTCAAACATAAGAAAGGACATAATTTTAAAAGATAAAGTGTAAAAAGGATAATACAAATTCTAATTGGAGTCTGTGTTAAGAAATCACTTTTAAGCAAAATAATGAGGCATGAGAAAGAACAGAAAGGTCTGTTTCTTCTGGTCCACCCTTATACCCCTCTTTAAATTTTCTCACACTTTAGAAACCGAAGGTCCTCCCTTTACCAGTGACATTGATGTGTATCCCCCCAGGGGTATTTGCTATTTAATTCCTTTTTCTAGCTGTTTAATAACAATATTAAACAATACAGTAAGAGCAGCTTAGATTTAGAGTTCTTATTGTGTGTTACAAAGTATACTAAGAAATTATCTTATGTAGTCTCCACCATCACACGCAGTGGATCTAATTATTTCCCTCCTTCTACAAATGAAGAATGTCAGGTTTTGAGAGGTTCAATTTCTTATTACCCTCAAGTCAACTCATAGATGCTAGAGTCAGGATTCAAACTCACACAGGAGTCTTTCTCTGTTCCATGCTAAAGGAATCTGTGAGGGATGATGGGTATCATGTGTGGCACTGGCTTAGTGTGTATGTTTGGGGAGGAAAAGATGAATGTTCTAGAGCTTCTGCAGCCTGGAAGGCAGCTGCCTACACAAACTACATATGGTCTATTGGTGCATAAGTCAAAGTTTCCTGGAGAAGTAAGCCTGTGTTTTCTCTTTCTGACCCATTTCTGTTATTCTGAGGATAAGCCCATTTTTTCTTGTGCAATTTCAGGAAACCCTTAAATAAAATTCTGGACTGTTCTGTCCTCTTTCCCCATTATAACTATTTGGTTTGCACAGAGACAAAAAGTTCTAGAAATACTTAGAGATTACACATTAGCAGGTGGCAGTCATCATTTGCACTTGTCTTTGATTTACAAAGAGGATCTCAGCTACTAAATCCTGTAACCTAGGGCCTTCTGGAAGTTTGGCTAAGCATTAACTTTTTTAACTATGACATTATCGAATTACAGGACTACAAAAAGAATAACTTCTTCATCCCTTCCTTTTTCAATATCAGACTTTTGAAAAAGGATGTGGCAATTGGGTCTCATTAGAACTTCAAATATACATAAAGCAACACATTTAAAACTGTGTTGTTGAAGAGCAATATTTCTCTAATGTTACTTAAAAAATGTTTTGCCTTTCATTATTGACTCTGACCACATGTCTTTATGTTAGTGTTTTATTCTCAAATCCTTGAAAATTGAAAATAGAAACAAAACAGATACAGCTATGACAAATTTCTTCTCTCAAAGATCAAGAAACCCAAATGATTGCATATTGTTGACAGCATTTGTTCAACCATATAACTTTCTGCTATTTTGGATTTCAAATCAGAAGGCTCAATAAAAATAAACGGCATAGAACATTACACTGGGATTACATGCTACCGTGAGACTTGCATTTTTGCATCTGGAATGTCTAAAAGCTGACACTTGGCCATTCTGATGCTGTCTCTCCTCCCCAGAGCACCCTGACAAGGGTCTGCCTGAATGCTGTCAATGCTGCTGAAAGGAAGACAAATGGCATGTCACTCTCTCCACAGACTGCTGATTAAACCAAGAGTCAAATATTTGGAAAGGTGCTTCCTCTAAGAATCCCCAGCTCTTTGCTAAAACCATATATTGGCCGTCTTGCAAAGAACATTAACTGTGCCTAGCAGAATGTTACCTAGTCATTCAGAACTGGTACAAAGGCTAGCATACACTGTGGAGAATAACATGCAAGCCACATTTTATTAAGTACCAATAATGTTTTTACTACTACTACTACTACTAGTAGTAGTAGTGTTACTACTAGTAGTATTTTATCAAAAAGTTATAGGCTTCAAAGTATTTTGAGATTGGTTGACAGTGGCAGTATCTAATGGCTGCAGGAAGTAAGTGGGATCCCAAGATTTTGTCTTTCCTCACCTTTCCCAAGCCTTCCTAGTGACAGTCAATATTCCCTGTAGGAAGCAGAAGTGGAATCTGCCTATAGGTGAGGCAGCCTATCAGAATGGAGCACAGATTAGCATTTCATTTTGTTCTTCCATTTACAAAATATACTTAGAAAACTTGATCTCTCTCACTCAAATTCCATACTGTCAGGTCCCCTTTGAAGAGCTCTGGGATTCATCAAATAAGACTTTTCTATTCCATTGACAAAGAGGATAATGAGAGAAAGGAAAAAAATAAAAAAACACACCTTGATCTGTTTTGAAGATGTTTTTTGAAAAGACTAAATACTTCATTTTCTCATAGTTTTTTCTCAATAAAGTCCATCTTGCTTTTATTCTTCTGAAGAATAAAAAGAAATGCATGCAATGCCAAGAGACTGATAATGACTTCTTTCTAGATCACTCTGATAATAAAAGATTCATTAGAGTTTAAAGGTTTTTATTTATTTATTTATTTTAGGTTTTAGGATCTTTAGAGTTAAGGATTTCATCTCAACTTTAAATACATAGTTCTATCCCTGAGAACTTTTGCTCCTTTGCAATATATGACACTTTTTATAAATGCATGATTTTCAATATATTTATATATTTATTATATTTTTCTTAAAGATATTCATTTTCAAAAGTTTATTAAGTATGTTGATTTAGGAGATAGACATAAGGTAGAGAACAAGCCTTCAAAAATCTAACAATCTAGTTGGGGAGACTTAAATATCTAAAGATATGAATAAGGCATTTGCAATTGTCATAAGTGCCATTAAAATAATAAAGCTGGAGAATGGGGAAACAATGATATTTTAGCACAGATAATTCCTAAAAACATTTTAGTTGCCTTGGTACCCACTGTGATTCAGACAAAGTATTTTTAAATGTGAAGCCATATCAAAATATGCAAAAATAAGAACAATATTTCATCACTAAGGGAATTTCATACAGAATTCAGAATTGCATAACTGGCAAAAATGGTAGAGTTAGAGGTCACTATCCTTGGCTTTCAAAGTGGTATGTGAGATATCAGCAAAGGGTTTTCTTTAATTGCTAAGTATCAAGTCAACAAGTACTCTTGGCACCAACACTACTACCATGTCCCCAAGAAGAGAGGGATACTAAAGGGTTCTGCATTTGAGAATTCTCTGAAGATGAGTGCTAGGCACTAGACACACACCTCATCTGAGACCTTCCTAGTGGGTTTCTATGCAGTGTGGCAGGCTTGGACTTGGTTCTGTAATTAGTTAGAGGAGAGTAAAATGACCCTCAGTTACTTTTTATTTTTAAAATAAACACAGATTTTTATCCAAGATGGTGAAGATATGATAGCAAAATATTGTTTTTTATCTTAATGCTTTGAAAACTTTAAAGAGTCACCAAATGGTAGAAATAAAACATCTAAATGCAAATGGACAGGTGGTTTTACTGTTTCCTTTTCATTAGGGAAAACCCAGTAATTCAGAAATTTTTAAATTGGTCTGAATAGAAGGAATAATTTTTAAGTTCTTTTTTAGACAGTTTTGTTATTGTTTTGTTAATGGAAGATGACATAAAGTTAGACTTGTGTGTCTTACTGAGGCTGAATGTCTAACTAACTCTGACAGTGGATCCTTGTATGTAGCAAATATGGTCAGTACAAATACAAAATATTCCACTTTCCTGGCTGCTCCTCCATAAGCCTGGTGATTTTCCATGCTGCCAGGGATCAAGGGTGATGCGGTAAAACTGTAGTTACGCTACTGGGTAATTTAAGAAGCCACATCAAAGAGCTTTTCAAAAAGTTCAGTTTAACAAATGAGACTTTCAACTTATTTCTGAAATGGATATGGGACTAGACTGTATGTTCACTCATATCTGGTTGTCACTAACACACACACCCAGCAATGTTTTGGATGTTGATGCTCCTACTTAAGCTTTAGAGAAGTAAAGAACTGAAATTCTGAAATCTCATGAAAATTG